CCCCCCCCAAAAAAAAACAATGGTTGGATCAATACAAAGGAAATATATAGTGTACACGTGTAGCAGTATCAACAAGAGGATTGGATACGTCTTTACCAAGTATAAGTACATGTGGTATTTCAAATGTATTGTGATGAGATGTATGTCTATAATGGACCATTCTAAATGCTACACATTAAAATATATTTGTTCCTACAGGACAAGGATTTGCAGACAACAGGAAAAGGAAAGTACAACATGAATATTTAAAGATATTGAGTAAACAAAGAAGACAAGAAGAATACCAAACAGGACAGCAGCTGAAGAGAAATAAAGGATTGACTGAAGAAGGAAGGTAACCAAACAAGTTGCCATGCTGACTAAACTTTGAAACTGATAAATGCTGCTTTGTCTAGCAGTAAATTATTCCTAAATGAATACTTAAATACAAATTCAATTCAATCTTTTAAAGGTGAAAATATTCTTTACTTGAAATTTTCTGCATGTATTGTAGCTTGCCCCCTATCTAGTCTTATAGCAAGATTTTAGGATATTTTGAAATAATTATGCTTGTTCTTAAAATGGCTAGCTCTTCTATTGGTTCCTCCAATAATTTCTTGTCTGGGCCATAACTTTTAAACTGTTAATAATAAAGATACTTGATGAACTTGCAATATACCTATAGCCCCACAGATGATGTGCAGAGCAATGTCCTATGATGGCTGTGACCTTATCTTCAAGGTCAAAGGTCAAATAACTGCTAACTTCTCCATAAAATTTTAACTTTGACCTTCCATGTCATAACTTTTAAATTGTATTAATTCAAATATACAAGTATGCACTTTGAAAAATAAAATCATTTTGTAATTTATTAGTAGACAGTTCCTTTTATAACCTGAATAGATTGAAGAAAATTGTAGATAAATTGTTATTCAACTTCTAATTAAAATTTTGGTAACTATATGCTTCTGTATTATCTTATCTTGCAGCTCTTCTGGTACAGAGAACTATACAACATATTCCAAGTCACAATGGCAGTCCCAGCAGAGGAAAGAAGAAAAAGCCAAAAAAAAAACAGTAAGAAATTAAAACAGTCCTATTCCATTAAAAATATAACTATATGTAAATATCTTCTGTTTTAACAGTCTTTATCTAAAATAACCCAAATGTTATATGCAGAATTTATGCATTTTCCCTCCATGGATGGGAGATATTTTTAATTGCCTTTTGTTCGTCGTGCATCCGTAAACAATTTACATTTTCAACTTCTTCTCTTGAGGTGCTTTATCAAAATTGTGTATTTCATGACCCCCAGACTCCATGTTCGCCCCTGGGGAAGGGACGAAGTTTACTATAGTTTATATAGGAAAATGATACTTTTGATTATGTTTGGTTCATTTTCAATTGGAAATTATTCAAACTTGACAGACATCATAACTATAAAATGACAGTTTGATACTTTGACAGTTTGGGCTGAGGGGCCAGGCTAGGAGGTGTCAAATTGGCCTAAATTAACAAATCTTATCCAGACCAAGATATGCTGGAAATAAGTAATCTACATAGATGGAAGACAGTGTGTTAAAGCGCTTTATCCCTTGGGGATCGGGTAAAGTTTACTATAGTTATATAGAAAAATGATACTTTTGGGTATATTTGGTTCATTTGCAATTGGAAATCATTGAAACTTGATAGACATTTTAACTTCGAAATGACAGTTTGATACTAGGACAGTTTTGGATTTGGCCATCTTGGAATTCTTCTTCAGACTCAGATATGCTGGAAACAAATGATCTTCAGGTGCTTTATCAAAATAATGAATTTTATGACCCCCAGGCTCCACTTTTGCCCCTTTGCAGGGGGTTAAGTTTACTACAGTTTGTATAAGATATTGATACTTTTGGGTATATTTTGTTCGTTTTCAATTGGAAATATTATAAACTTGATTGAAATTACAACCATGAGATGACATTTTGATACTTTGAAGATTTTGACCCTGGCCCACCCCCAGGGGCTGAGGGGCAGGCAGGGCCCAAAGGAATCAAATTTGCTTACATTTCCACAATCTTCTTTTCCAGACCCAGATACATGTATAAGATCAAAACAAAAACTCTTCATAAATGGAAGGGTCTTAAGTTGCTTTATTAAACTTGTGAATTTTTTAAGACCCATGCTTCAGGTTTGTCCCTGGGGAGGGGGGTGAATCTTACTAAGTTTATATAGGAAAATGATACTTTTAGTTACGGGTGTATTTTTTTCATTTTCAATTAGAAACTGACAGAACCACTATTAGTACATATACTGCCCAGATCTTTCACACTACTTTTGCATTACATGTAGTTCAAGTTACCTTTGTTACAAAATTATTTCTTTTTCATTTATCAACATCGATAACAAATTTTTACATTACTCAGGTGTCCGTTAAGGCCTGTGGCCTGTTGTTTCTGGAATAGCCCAAATTACAGTAAACCTCCTCTTAATTATATTACAATGTAGGTGGTAAGCTTGAACAAATTGATTTTCCTTGATTTTTAACAAAGTTTATTCCTTTTTTGTACTAGGTACTTTTCTGAAAAGTTTTCATGCAATTTTATTGGTTTACTACTAGGGAAATAAGGTAATATTCATATGGATGAATATACGTTACTGAAACTAGCATTTGGCTTACAATTCTAATTTTATATAAATAGCTGTGATTGTTAGGCCGTTCTGTGATGGAGTGACTCGTATCTTTAATTTATGTACATATTTTTTTTCCAGGAGGCATTAAGGAAGAAAAGAGAAAGAGAAGACGCTCTAGCTAAATACAATGACAAAAAACAAGTGAAAAACAAAACATTTTGCAAACGAACACGCAAAGGACAACCAGTAATGAAAAATCAAATGGAATATTTGTTGACAAAAATTGAAAAGCAAGTGAATAAAACATAGCAGTAAGCAGTGTTGAAGATGTTGTGTTATTATAGTTATTACTCTTAGAAGGATTAATGTACGATGCACACACTACACACAGGTGTTTTTACGAACACAATTTTGTATTATAGATAAAGTCTGCCAAAAATTAAGTTGTACTGAACATATTAGATTTTGTTTTGGATTGAAGAACTTGGCAACTAGAAAGGGGATGGATGTGTTTCAAAGTATCAGTTTTGTGAATAAAAGTTGTATTAGGAAAAATTTTAACTTTCTGTGTAATGCCCCCAACTCCTAATTAAGCACACATTTCACCCAGACAATAAGAGTTTAAATGCCTGGTACTCCGGTTTCCTCCAACATTAAGACCGACTGTATGCTTCCATCGGGTCCAACAAGAGTGATTTATATAAATATAAGAAGTAAATAACTGTTGTTAAAATAAATAAAGATAATATTATATTGTTTGGTATGATACAAAGTGGTCTGTTGGTGTAAAGTCAAAATGCCATGATCAAAGATCAAGTTTGTTAGGGTCACTGCAAAACAATGTAAAGCAATAACTTATTGGTGCAGGTTAAAGGTCAATGTCTTTGAGGTCAAAATCTACAGTCCAGTAAAACATTTGGGATAACATTTTTCTACCCTGTCTTCATGCATGTGAACTCTAGCTGAAGGTAAGTGCCAAGATTCCTTTGGTATCACTTGTCAAGTTTGAAATAACTGAGACAAATACATAGTCTTCTTGGTCAACAATTCAAGCTGATAATTGTACCTTCATTGGTTATCGTGCTACACATATTCTAAAGTGCAAACGAATGGAGAGAGTTCTTGACCTTAGGTACTTTAGAATACAGAATGGCAAAATTCCTTAACCTGTGTTGAAGAAAAGGAGTTTTAAGATTTACACAACAAATAGTCCCTATAGCTTTGTTATGTTTTGACATCATGAATGCTTAAGTTTTGTTGGTTCTTTTCATTTCTCTCTTCTCTTATTTAACAAGCACATGTACAGGTACCATATTAAAGGGATCATACAAACCAAGATGCAATAGGATCTTTGATGGGCATGTTCTCCCTCTCAGGATTATACCAGCCAAATATTATGACCCAAGACCTTTCAGTTCGTCATAAGATGTTATTAGCATCATCTGTCGTCCATCCGTCAACTTTTCCTTTAACAGGAGTGGATTTTAACTAAATTTCGTCTGGATCATGTTTGGCCCAAGGGCACTCAATTTTGTATAAACTGTAGGTGTGGCCCCCCTCGGGGAAATAAAGGTTAAAACCTTTAAAACCCTTCTTCTACCATGGGGATCAAGAAATGTTATCCTAATTTAGTCTGGAGCATATTTGATCCAAGGGGACTCAATTTTGTTTAAATGTTGAATGTAGCCCCCCTGGGGGCAGAGGGGTTGGGTGGAATAGGTGAAATAGAGGTAAACCTTTAAAATTCTTCTTCTACCATAGGGATTAAGGGATTTAATTCATCCCAATTTGGTCTGGAGCATCCTTTGGCCAATGGGACTCAATTGTGTATAACGGTGGGTTTGGCCCTCCTGGGGGCAGAAGGGCAGATTCCAATAGGGGAAATAGAACTTTTGAAATCTTTCTGCTACCATAGGTATTAAGGGATTTTATCCTAGTTTAGTTTGGATCATCCTTTGGCCAAGGGGACTCAATTTTGTTTAAACACTGGGTTTGTCCCTCTTGGGGGCAGAGTGGTTGGGCCGAATAGGGGAAATAGAGGTAAACCTTTAATCCCTAATCTTCTACATTAGGGGGCAGAGTTGCGGGACCCAATGGGGAAAATAGAGGTAAAAACCTTTGAAATCCTTTTTTAATGGGTTTCATCCCAATTTAGCCTGGATCATCCTTTGGCAATTAGTGGACTAAATTTTGTATAAAAGAAGGGTGAGGCCCCTCTGGATGCCGAGAGTTGCAGGGCCCAATAGGGAAATTCAAGGTTTAAATCTTTAAAATTCTTCTTCTTTTGTTCCATTGGAGGGATTTCATGTAATAAGAATACTTTCCTTTGGTTGCTTTATTAGCCAGGTGAGGGATATAGGCCCTGTGGGCCTCTTGTTTTAAGTTTTGACACATTAACCCTGTTACCTTGAAAGAGGTTAGAGGTATTTTCATTTTACAAATAAAAAATGCTTCATCCAAGGCATTTACAAGCCAAAAATCATGACTTGAGGCCATGAAATTTTTGAAAAGTTGTTGTTGATGTTTTTAACGGATACAACCTCTGTGGCTTTGAAAGTAAGTTGGTGTCATTTTTGTTAGCAAACTTTGTTGAGCTCCATCTAAGGAATCTACCACCAAATGTCAAGGCACTTTATCTTTAAGTTCTGTAAAGGAAGTTGTTAGATGTTTTTGACATATTTGACCTCTGTGACCTTGAAAGTAAGTCAAGTTTTTGCAAAGTTTTTGAAGCTCTATCCAAAGGATCTCCAGTCAAATATCATGATTTATATAGCAAGGCCTTTAAGTTCTTGCATTTGAGAAGAAGTCGTTTAAAATTCCAGACATATTCGACATTTGTGACCTTGTAGTCAAGGTCATTTTTGTTTGCAATGTTGTTGGGCCTCGATCATCAAAGGAAGCTAATTTCAGCCAAATATCTTGACTGTTGGCCTTTTGGTTCCTTTGATGGTAAAGTTGACAATGGACCAACACACCTGACAGAGGCTGCACCACAGCCTATAAAAGCTCAAGCCTAAAACTTGTTGCCTGGCATCCATTTTGTTTATTATTGTCCAATTCATAATACAGCTTGCACACTTTAGATACAAAGGGGGTTATGGATATCAAGCAATGTTTGTTGTCACCGAAAATATGGAATAAACCTCATTGTAACATTTTGTATGCAACTATTATGTAGGTTTATTTATCTTACATTATTTCAGTATTCAACATTATTTTGAAAAAAATATTACTTCTTTCATCTTTCATCTGCACTCATAGAAAATTACACTGTAAATCTGTCTACATTGAATAGATATTTTCATTATTTTAAAATTTCATTAATGAAGTACAATTGTATTTCGGTGTGATATTGATTTACATAATTTTAGGCAAATGAAGTACAGAACTTGATTCCTGGTAACATTTCCCATAAACACCGGTTGGTCTTGTATATATGTATAAGTAATTACTGGTCAGCATGGTTTTTTGTCATTGATTATGTTTATTAATTGTGTACAACATACATTTATACTAAGTATTTAGCTGTGCCATCGATTTGCAAAGCTCAAGCGAAATATTTATATCTGCACCACACATGTACAGATATTACCAGCTCTCATTCTCTTTATATGAACATGTTATATATAGGTGGACTGTAGTGTATATACTATAAACACAGACCTTATCGAGTGAACCATGAAGTCCCCTTGGACGTGCTGGGGTACAAAAGTGAAAAAATAAGGTCATTGAATAAAAATTGGTTTATCTTTTATTTACAAAGCAATTATACATAAATTAAATGATATAATCACAACCACCAAAACATTGATCTAAATTTATTTTTTTCTTTAAATTGCCGCTTCATATTATCCTTTATATTTTTTACTTTGCATTGATCCTGAAATTCCAACAATCGAACCCAACTTCTATGCAAAAAACTCCAATTTCTACTCATCCATTAAATACCAGGGGTTAATTAGCTCACTTACATTCTCTGTTCCCTGAAATACACCATGATGAAATTGAAAGCTCTGAACTGACACCTTGTGGAGGATAAGCATAGACTACCAGGGAAATTTTATCCTTTGATATTAAGCAAAAAGATCACACAACATTGTAATCGAAAAGTTGCCCATCTTTGAAGTTGATTGTCGCTTCTCTGTAATCTTCCAATGACAGGTGACAGCAAATGTAGTGATCACACATATATAAACTGTGGCACAATATTACTAATGAAGGATTTCTTTGACCCTTTCCTTCATCTTGATTTCCGATCAGTCCCAAAATTTGATATGCAAAAGTAGAGACCATGACGAATGTTAACATGGATTTAATTAAAATGTATGTACACTTTGTGAAAGATTCCACTTCAACTTTTTGACAAATAGCGAAGTGATATTTAACACTCAAGATACAGTCATCCTGGTTTTCCAATTAGTCTCAAAATTGCTGTTGCTTTGCAATTATAATTAGCTAACCAGTCATGGTGGCTTCATTAGAATGTTCACCACTTAATACAACCAATAACAACACTTGAATTGGTAAGTAAGTACTTTTTAAAATAACATTTTCATGTTGATGACCTTGGTGCCAATCTGACAAACCAGAAAAATACCAACACTTGGCTATATATAGTCAGAACCATGAACATGTATACGCATGTGCTGAACATAAATTAGCTGGGAAGTTTAAATTCTAAATAGATCATCAAGATGGCTACCATGGTAGCAACCTTGGATACCCAATTGGGACATTAAATATACACTTTGTGCTGAACATTAAGGAAGGTCAATGGGATTTGTCAGTATGACTGCCATGATGGCCATCTTGGATACAAGTGTATCTGAATAATTGGATAAATAATTAAGCTTAAGACACTTTGTCATGATCATATATTGAACATTTAAACTCATTCATCCCTAAGATTTCATAATGAACTATTCCAACCTTTGAATTGGAAGAGTTCAAATGTGTCTTCAGGGGTGAATGAGTTAAACTAAACATATTTTTTGGGAGGTTGAGATAGATTTTCCCAGCCCCTTGGATAAAAACAAAACAAAGGATTTAGCCTGTGTTTGTTTCCTGCCATCTTTATCAACTTTCATTCCAAGCCGTTTTCCTGCAGTCTTTATCAATTTTGTACAATAATCACATTTCTACTGTAGAGTGTATACATTCACAAAAATTCTCCTGTATGAACTATTTGATGTACATTTAGATTTAAACCCAATTTAAAACTTAAACACATATAACTTCTACCATACTCAAGCAATACAATTTAGATTAAAATCAAATTTAAAACTTAAACACATATAATTTCTACCATACAATAAAAAAAAATCCAGACATGGACATCTCGGCCTCAAGTCTGATATATATGTATGCACATGCCTATACGGAGGTGTGTCAATAAAACCTACTGTCCTTTTCAACTGTCCACAAAAAACCCATATCTATTGTTACTCTCCAGTATGTGTCAGCCGATGTACACGTAGATTAGATGAAACGTTAAAGTCCTTACCACAGATATCACACTTGTATGGCTTCTCTCCGGTATGTATTCTGAGGTGTATATGTAGATTACTTGTATCTCCAAACGCCTTACCACAGACATCACAACTGTATGGCTTTTCTCCTGTATGTGTCCTTAAGTGTCTCTGTCGGTCATATGCCTGATTAAATCCCTTACCACAGACATCACACTTGTGAGGTTTCTCTCCTGTGTGTCTCCTATAGTGCCTCTGACGGTCACCCGCCTGATTAAATCCCTTACCACAGATTTCACACTCGTACGGTTTTTCTCCTGTATGTGTCCTTTGGTGTCTCTGTAGGTCACCTGCCCGTTTAAATGCCTTACCACAATCATCACACTTGTATGGCTTCTCTCCTGTATGTGTCCTGATGTGTGTCTGTAGATTGCTTGTAGCGCTAAACGCTTTACCACAGGTATGACATTTGAATGGCTTTTCTCCTGTGTGTATCATATAGTGTGTTTGTAGATGAAATTTCCGAGTAAACTCTTTACTACAGACATCACATTTGAATGGCCTTTCGTCTTGGTGTGTCATGTAGTGTGACTGTAGATAAAAGTTTCGAGTAAACCCCTTACTGCAGATATCACACTTGAATGGCTTCTCTCCTGTATGTGTCCAGATGTGGGTCTTTAGATTGTCAGAATCACTAAATCCTTTACCACAGTCTTCACACTTGTATGGCAGCTCTATTGTATGTGTCTTTAGGTGCCTATGTAGACTGCTGGTATGATTAAACCCCTTACCACAGTCATCACACTTAAATAGCTTCTCCTCCCCTGTATGTGACCTGAGGTGCTTCTGTAAGTCACATGCCTGATAAAACCCCTTATCACAGACATCACACTTGAATGGCGTATCTTTTGTATGTGTCATTAGGTGGCTCCATAGTGCCGTCGCCTTTGAAAAGTTCTTACTACACACACCACACATGTAGGGTTTGTCTCTTGAATGTGTTATGAGGTTTTTCAGTAGGGGATTTTCCACATTAGACTCCTTACCACTGAGATCACACTCGGGAGGCTTCAAACTCTCTTCTGCTTGCATTGTGTAGCGATTTTTCACTTATGTTTGATAAGCTGGTCAAAATTCTGATAAACAAAGTTTAAAATGTATCACCTTCAGTTAACATCTTTTTCTATGATCATCACATCTCCACAGCAAAGTTGTATTTATAGAAGGCGAGCTATCTTGGTGTCACTTCTCGGGTTACAGGTTAATTCCTTTCTCGACAATCTGTTTTGTTTATATCTGAAACAATAAAAAATGCATGTTCAGCTTTTTGTATGATAAAAAATGAAACATATGTTTATTTACAGGGTAATATAGCACATTCATTGTATATAATGGTTATAAATGTATAAATCATGACTCTAGGGTGTTTGGCTCTTCAGAAGAAACTTTTGAGTGTTTTAACAGCTTGAACCTCTGTGACTTTAAAGGTTGAGGTATTTTCTCATTTCAAAGATTTTAGTTCTCAAAACCAGCAAGCTCCTATATATATATAAAGATACCAACCATAACCCTTCTTGGTGTTTCAGAATATACAATTTGAGTGTCTGAATAAAAATTAAGTCTTGAAATTTATAAAAAAAATCCAGAAGTCAAATAACATTTTCCCTGAAATTTGGAGAGCCGAAACACATTCCAAATAGCTTTAGACTTGTCTTTGTTTCAAACTCAAGAGTCAAAGCTATGCTCTCAATTGCAACGGTCTATTGATATAAAATCTTCGTTTTATACGTATAGTGGTGGGAGACATGACAGTATCTAACCTGCTATGTCTAGCATGCTACACATATTTAAATTAGAAAGAGATACATCCTTCATGGATTGGCATATCAGCCCAAACCATTTGTTTAAACATTATATGCATACAACTCTCATTATCATGTTAACTCTATGCTTTTTAGCTCACCTGGTCCGAAGGACCAAGGTGAGCTTATGCCATACCGTGGCGTCCGTCGTCCGTACATCAACAATTTCTTTAAACGACTTCTTCTTCTTAACCACTGGTTGGAATTAAACTAAATTTGACTGGAAGCATCCCTAGGTGGTGGGGATTCAAAATTGTACAAATGGTGGGGCTCTACCCCCAGGGGGCTGAGGGGTGGGGCCAAAAGGGGGCAATTTGTCTATATTGCTACAAACGACTTCTTCTGTAGAACTGTGCACTGGATATCAATCATATTTGATCAAAAGCATTCCTGGGAGGCAGGGATTTAAAATTGTACAAATGGTGTGGCTGACCCCCCAGGGGGCTGAGGGGCAGGGCCAAAAAGGGTATTTGGCTATACTGCTTTAAG